CGCAACAATTAAGAAGAGGGGACATTTAAAAATCAGATTATTTGGGGGGACTATATATAATTAGAACGTTATTTCTCACTTTGGATAAATATTGCGAAGAATATTACTACGTCGACCCGCCATCAGAGGTCTATCGATATTCGCAAATTCTCGCAAGTGCTGAGACACGCGTATATCTCTTTATATAGAATCTCGATTTAATAACTTACACCGGCGTCTAAGGTAGGCTTCCACTACAATACCTTACTGATGAGTCCAGTAGTGGAAGCCGGGACGAAACGCCAAACATTACGTGATATTCTTCGCAATATAAAATATTAGAATATATTATCAGATTTAGATTGACTCTTATTCGCCATTCTCAACGTATTAATTATTGTTTATAAAAAGAGTCCTTTATTTCTTCAATTAAAAATATTATATAATGAAAGAGAGTGAAATACGACGAAAAAAGGGATGGTGGGGGTTGGTGTTGGGGTGGGGGAGTGGTAGGGGGGGTAGGTCCGGTGGGTCGAAGATGGTGGAGGTGCGAATGAAAGATGAGAGAGGATGTTAAAAAGTTGTAATGACGAAAGAGAGTAAAATACGGCAAAAGAGAGGGGTTGTGGGTGTAGATGGTGGTGAGGGGGGGACGTATGGGGAAGTAGAGTCCTAGATATGAGAGAAGCGCAACCAATGTTCCGCACCCTGATTGGCTGATGACTGTCAGCCAATCATGACATTCATTCCGTGGTATTCAAAATGACTGACTAATAGACGATTGGTGGATTTCATAGTTCGTCTACAAACGACGCCATTTTTAATACTGTTTTTAGTAATTTTGCGATACTGCTTAAGCCGGTTGCGCTTCTCTGATATCTAGAACTCTATGGAGGAGAAGGTCCGGTGAGTCGAAGATAGTGGAGGTGCGAATAAAAAGTGAGAAGAAAGTTTTAAAAAGTTTTAATGCGGCCTTGAATGCGTATAGAGAAGAAAGAGAAGAAGAAGGAGACGTTTCTTAATTTTTCATTAAAATCATCTCTTTTCGACCACTTATATCTCTAGAACGGCTTGACCGATTTTAAATTTTTGTGTTAAATTACTCGTGGGGATGCCGCCTTTCAGAATATATAACGTTTGATTCAAAATTTTTTTTATATTTTAGTAGTTATGCACCCCCCAAAAATGTACTCTGGTGGCTCGGGATAAGATACTTGTAGTGTCTATTATTATTAACCTTTCATATATTAACTAGTAGTTTTTGAACATGGCTGGAGACACTACCGCGTCTCCTGATACCTTGTTAGTACAAGAAATACTATGAGTCTCTGCTTGAGCAAAATTTCAAAGGATGACAAGACGTTTATAATATTAAATACCGCAACATAATCCATTGTTTCACGGTTTTATCATTGTAACCTTTGACTGACGAACACATTTTACATAATGGACAACCATAGTCTTTATCTAACGTTTATAATTGACTTCAATTGTTCAAGCATTTGAATTTATAACACGACAATATAAGAATCTTTTATTTCCGTTATTAAAATCTAATTTTTGTTAATATTGAGAATGACCCGATCGGTGTCGAAACGTTTGTTTTATTACTCTCTCTTGTTTATTGTTTATTTATAATATATTGTCTTTATTCCTTTTGAATTTTATCGTTTTAATTTGGCTTGTTGTCCGTTACACTACATTAATTTTTATTTATTATTGTCGAGTCTTCTCTCAATATTATTATTTAATATATTTTCTTATTTTTTTATATTATGTATTCAACTATTCTCAAGATTGTTTTTACAATTACACAATAAAAAATCTCTGTTACATTTGTTATAAATTCTCTCAAACTATAGTGCTCTTACAAGACATTTAACACCGCCAATCACAAGTGCGACTTCGACGTCTGAAATGGAGGCATCCGATATTGAAAGTGTACAGGCACTCGTGAACACGCAAAACGAGCAGATCCTTAGACTCTTAAATGTCGTACAGGAAATATCACCGCAATTGCTTGGCATGGACGCTTTGAAGACTAACAAAGGTACAGTCTAAGTGGATTTAAAGACTTATTTCTCAATGTTAAATTATTTATAATAGAATAATAAAATAGTCAAAACTAGATGCATTCAAAACTTTATTAGGCGAGACAAAATTGAGAGGCAGTGCGATAAAGAAAGTCAAGAATTATTATCAAGAGATGGCATGGGGTACACTGTCTAGTATTTTAGATCACGTGATATTGTGGTGGTCACGAGAAGCCCTTGCGACTCATCACAGCCACGGTGCTCAGCATCTCAAGGATTGGTTGCGGAAATTTATTCAAGGGAATGAAGGTATGCCTTTTTTCTTTAAACCACTTCTCATTTTTAATTTATAATATATTCTTGAGGAGATATAATATAGTCTTGAGGAGAGTACTACTATCTTTAAAATTTTAGTTTCTCCTACGGTTAGATCAGCGCTGCAAAATTTATGCGATGCGCTCGGATATCATACGACCATCACTGCTTGGGACCAGATGTTTAGATTAGCCTATACCTCGGCCTTTCAATGCCGTTCGAAACCAACAGCCACAGAAGTAAGTACTTTACAAAGAAAACATTCAATTTAGAATTTCAAGGATATTTGTTTAATAAAATGCATTAATAAACGTAAGAGAAAAATAAAGTCGTAACAAAAATAGGATTAATAATAGAAAAAGAAGAAAAACAATAAATTTTCTATGCATACACAGAATTTGTTAAAGCATCAAAAAATATAGGTAAATACAGATCTGAAAACAATTGTGTGGTCTATTAAATTAATTATGTAGGAAACATAATCATGATGAGTAATGTTACAAAAATTTAAATAAAAGTTCTTAATATAAAATCAACAATAACATAATAAAGGACTAATAAAAGTCAAAAGATTAATGTGCAACAAATTTAAAAAAAAAGGCTACATTTTAATAATATCTTGATTAATTACAATAAACGCACGCATTACATGTTTCGGCTGTATGATTCAGCCCTCTTCGGATACTTGTGCAATAGATTAAAATTTAACTTGTGTTTCGAAATAAAAATATCGCACACGCACGCGCACGCACCCGTCTCATGAAGCTTCAACAGAAAACCAAATCTATCCACTATAAGTGAGTAAGCCTCACTCCTTCTTTCTAACTCTACGATAAGTTTATCAATTATCACATTGAAAGTGTTAATCCTAAATTTATCAGCCCCTGTTAAATTATCAGTAACTGTAGAACCATCAGGTAATTTTTTTATTACTTTCCTCTTTTTTGTATCTGCATATTCATGAATTACAAAATTACCTAGATTTTTGACTTCCTCTTCGAATTTCGAAAAAACATTACGTAAATTTTTAACGAATTCGAGCAGAGATAAAAGCATATTATTCGCTGTGCATAAATCTAATTCTACCTTTTGAATGTAGTTGCTAACACTATCAAATCTATTCAAAATAGAATACCAAAATACAGTCATGAAACCATTTTGAAATAATGTTAATTTGTTGGCTAAAGTGCGGGCTTCGTGACGAACATCGGCTTTTTGAGACTCGTCGTTACTTATAGTAATCAATGCCTTATAAATGCCTTCATAATTTTGTTTTAAATCTTTTGTAGCATCGCTTCGTCGCGACCAACGAGTAGTTGACAAACTATGTAAATGAGCTTCGCATGTAGCTTTCAAAACTTCCCATCGATGAGTAGAACATGTAAAAAAATTATAAAGTGATTGTAATAGAAGAAAAAACTGTATGGCATGCAAGCATACTTCTGCAGAACATTCTCCCACTAAATTAAGCGAATGTCCGATACATGGTGAGAATAACGCCAAACCGTTTTCTTGCAGTATATGAGCTTGTAAACCTTCATATTTTCCTGATATGTTTGCGGCGTTATCATATGACTGAGACCTACAGTCGCGTATAAATATATCATGTTTCTCAAATAAACCTGACAATTCTTCTTTTAACGATTTGCCCTTATGGCTATGAATAGGAATAAAGCAAAAAACCTCTCATATATATGTGAATTCAAGTAATATCGGAAGATTACTGATAATTGATTTGTACGAGAAACGTCAGGTGTAGAATCGACAATAAGCCCCCAGTATTTCGCATCTTTCATTTCATTTTTAATGCGTTCCAGTAGAACATCCCCCATTAAAATAATAAACTCTTCGCACACAGTTTTTGATAAATATGAAACGTTTCCTTGACCTTTATCTCCATAATTTTGAATATGTTGTTTGAGAAAAGGATCAAACTCCGCGATTAGTTCCAAAGCGCCTAAATAGTTCCCATTATGAGGCGAATTAAAATGTTCGTCTGAACCCCGTAAAGCAAGGCCTCTTTCACCAAGAAAACGGATAACCGCTACAACTCGCCTCAAAACTTGTGTCCAATATCTCATTTCTTGCTCGTACTGATCTGTTAAGCTTTTATCGATATGCTCTTTTTGTTTCATGTATTGAATACAATTTATTGTACAATTTTTGTGTTCTGAACTACTTTTGTGAGATTCTAGTACTTCATCAACTTTTTCCAATTACAAAAACCCCATTTCACAAACGCATTGTTAGAGTTGTAGATTTACAAAAGTAACAGTAAATTTTTCCAGTCGATTTTGAATACATAATCCATTTCCTTTCGATTCTTTCGCCATTTTTCAGTACTCTTTTAAAATGTTTTGCTGAAAAGTATCTATTCTGTGTATTATATTCTCGCTTTGAATTTTTGAAATCTGAGTCTTTATTTTGAAAAAACGAATATCCTTTATTCAAATAATCACGATGTTCAGTGTCAGTAAAGTGCAGTGGCCATAACGCAGGATCTGCATGAACAGTTAGTATATCTAAAATTGCAATAAAGAAGTAATCAAAATATATTCAAATTACTATCAAACTATAAACTATTATAAAATAAATTTTTATATTTGATAATTGTAAATTACAGTTACTCACCTAAAGATATTTCATCGACACTTCGTAATGCTCGATCATCATTTTCACATTCAACTGTTAATTTTTTACTTTCTACATCACTATGATCAGCAGTGTCTACAATATAGCCGCTTGCTATATGATTTTTAGTCACTGTGTCATTTTTTATGACACATATATCTGATCCAACTTTTTCTAATTGATCCTCAAACTTATCATTATTTTCAGTAATACCACTTTCAGTATGTTCGTCATTCTCGCTCTCTTGTTGACTACGTTCAATTGAAAAAAAATTTGTAACCTTGTGATAGTTTTTTTGCACGTATGCTTCTTTTTGTTTTGCTTCTTGTCTTTTTTGTGCACCACTCTTTTGTATTCTCTTCATTTTGATAATTAGTATAAAATCAACGTACAGAAAAAACGGGCACTGCGTTCGTGTCAGACGCTTACAAAGAAATAAGCTACTGGCTACTAATAAATACTGCATATCGAACAGGCATAAACACGAGAGCAGCAAGCTTTTGTTTTTCCGCGAAATTAGCAGACCAGCGCCCGAGCCGCTGTGTGCCATCGCTGCTAGCCGCATATGCGATGCATCTCCACGAATCAACCGTACAAAATAACAACACACATACTCTAAAAAAACATGCGCGTTTACGTTACTCATTCTCTTCTGTGAAACAAAGATCATTTAAAACATAATAATAAATTTTTTATTAATACCTTTTAGATTTTTATTTAGGATGCAATAAATTAAAAAAAAATTAAAATAATTGGTAAACCTTTACAAAAGGGGACCACCTTCCGATGACCTTGACCTTGACATATGTTGTCAAGGTCATGACCCTGAGTAACCTCTGGCAGGTATTAGCCGTCGCTCGTCCTTCGTTAAAAAGTTATTAACAATCAAAGTTTTAAAAATAACGTCTTATTTCTGTTATATACCATCTTAAACATTATTCTACACATACATTTTGACTTCCTACACTACACGAACACCAATTCCTTCCCCCCCCTCCAAGGGGCGTTCGACTTCTATGATTGCACTGTTGCAATTTTAAAATTAAGGTATAATATATAATACATGTATGATATTGAGTACTATTCTACACTTTTCCCTGTTCAGAAACGTTAAACTTTCCACGAGAAATAACTTTCACTCCCCCCC